ACAACGGCTCTCTGGTGAAGGCGCTGGGAGCCTCTCTTGATGGCGGAGCCATCAGCAGGTAGATCCGAGAGAAACGAGGCGACAGCTGCTTTTTGGAGAGCTCGAATAGACGGCCGAACCTTACGGCTAGGCTCAGGAGCCTTGCAACGATGGTGGTTCGGATGGCCGGGTTGTGAACAGGTCCACCATCTGGCTCCCTGGCGCTGGCGTTAGACAACGCATTGGCCTGTGCGCTCCCCGAGGGGCGACTTGCTTAAAGCAAATTGAGCCTCAGCAATGAGTATGGATAGGGTAGGTCGTTGCACGTGTTTATAGACTGAGCCATGAATTATGACTCAAGTACCTCGCTACTCACGCGATTTTCACCCCTCTCGCGAGAATTTCGGCCTCGTCAAATTTGATTGTGTGGGCGGGTTTCGTCGAATGAGCCACAGCTTGACAATTGGCGTCTTTGCCCCATATTGCAGTGAATGCTTTCGTGGAAGCAGCTTGGGCGGGCGTTGGGGCACTGGTGCTTGTGCTTCAAAAGTCTGTTTGAGCAGAACATCGGGGTTTCCGTAAATAAATTCTGGTTTGTGTAGAAGACGATTCGATCGCTGGGAATCCACTTTTATTCGCCTGACGTTTCGACATCCTTCGCAGAGACATCAACAGAAAGCAATAGCAGAAACGGGATTTTTATGCCCATTGTTTCATGCTCTTGAACTACTTTCAAATCGTCGGGACAACGGCTACACCACGGAAACCGCTTCATTAGATCACAACTCTCCCAAAAGACAACCCATTCTTGCCATTCGTTCACATATACACCACTTCTTTGATGCCTGATGACCGACCTCCCCTTGCACCTTATATAACGAGTGCTTTTATACTGCTTCGCTCGTAGTTTCACCACATTTTTCTCATTTGCATGGCTAAATAGATATCCCTGCTTTCTGCCTCTCTGTTTAGGTGCTTAACTGTTTGAGCCTGTTGGAACCCGAGTGTCCCAGCCAGGCTGAGTACAACTCACTAGCCCTTCTGCTCACCTTGCCGCGCCTTGACCGTCATCCGGACTACCGCGAATGGAACCCCAGTATCGGTCGTCTTCAGTGCTTCAAACAGGTAAGAAGCCTCGGTGACCGCCACCACCACCATAACCAACAGTGTGGCGGGAAGTTAACATCTAGGTGTGTTAAAACACGCAGCACGTAGGGCAGGACTTAGGGGATGCATGCAGACTAGTTAACGCGTGTCGTGTCGTGCCCGTTTTGCTTCAGCGCGTCTACAGCGCAGCCCGTTATGACAACTGCACAGGACACAGCTTCATACACCCGAGAATAGACACCAGTTGAGGATCGAACGGAACAGCCTCCACGTGCATCAAGACTCGCGACAGCATGTACCTTCTACCTCTTACACCACAACCACCAGCGTATGTGGAAGCGTAGGGATACAGAGGCCGATAATGAGAAGTTAATCCATATGGCAATTTCGTCCATTCTTCGCTTGATTAAATCTGAGGCGTTTTGATCAATCACGAGGGTCCGAGAGTGGTCGCTTGGAATGCAGCCAGTTGATGGGATATGTACTTGTTCTTGTTACGGCTGCAATTATGACTGGTCTTCGCTCCGGAGCCCGAATAGCGAAGGTCCAAGAACCACTTCCATATATTGGCGGACTGAGTCAAGCCAGCTTTTGAGCTGACCCCCTCTTCAACGTCTCCAATTGGGTAACGGTGGTAGGTCGAGTGTGAAGTTGACGACGAAGAACGTGTCCAAACTGCCTAACTCGTTTTTCTTGGAGGGCCTGGAATATCCTTGCGATATTTTCGCAGCGAGTGCGGACCGTCTTATTTGAGACGAAGCCGGTGTACTTCACTCGAAGGATGGTCCTCAGGCATTAGTGGTTGAATATCTCCAGTTTTCCTTATATGCGCATAGCGCAGCATTCAAACCCATAGAGAAGAATAGACCGAACGGATGCACGGTACACAAACCTTTGTAGTAATGTTCACATCGCATCGGATCCGTAGGCACCCTTAAAGGCGAGCTGCATCGATTCGGGAGACAATGTTGTCCCTACTTTGTCCATTCAGCAGCAGTCTCGCTCCAAGGTATTTAAAACTGCCTACTTCTTCGAGTTGACAGCCACCAATCTCGAGAGATGCCTTCTCTTGGGCAGGGATACAGCCTGAAAATACTCCGGTCTTCCCAGCGTTTTGGGCAAACCGACTGATTTAGTGACTTCGTTCACCTGTGACACCACAGACTGTAGATCAGCAAAGCTTGAAACCAGTAAAGCTACCAGCTGATGGGTTATGTCGGTGTTTTCCTGAAACAAGACAGACAACAATTGACCCCTCTTAGCTCTGCTTTCCTGGCATTCGCGGGTGTCAAACTCCGTCAATGAGGCTTAATACGTGCGAAGTTAGGTGACAGGTTTTGCGTGGCACGTGTAGACAGGCTGTTTAGTCTAGTTTGTCGGTGTGCCTACCGTCACCTCCGGTCGTCTGGACGTAATCTTCCCTCCTGAATGTGGTAACTATCGGGAGTGAGTAAGCAAATTTGGTGAAAGTCTAAATAAATTCATGCGTAAGTCACGCCTGCAAGGTACATCCTATACTCTTCCCCAAAACAGTCTACTTAGTATAGAACCTAAAAAGGAGGTAGGGGTGCTCCCGTATTGGGTTTCGTTTTGTGGGATTTTCGAGTCATACTGTTTGGCCGATTGCATGAAGTAACCCTTCCGTACTGCCTCATGTATTACACAACTCTTAACCGCTCATTCAGAAATGTGCTTACTACAGTGGCCACACACCGGTAGCCGTTCCGATCAGTGAGCCAAACGGGATGAGAGCAGCCGGTGTATCTCTTTTTATCCGATTAGGTGGTGTAGCTCTGTTCGACCCTTTGAAAGGAACCAGCCGATTAGACGGGGCCTGTGTCACGTCAGCCGCTGTATCCAGTCACATTGGTAGTCTCTTTGGTCGTGATCTTATCACCGGGTCACAGTTATACTTGTAGCAGTCGTAGTTGTAGTAGTAGTAGTAGTAGTAGCTAACAGAGCTTTTGCTGGATACAGGTGAGAGGGCGGGAACCAAGGCAAGCCCGGATGTGCTCCGGTCCCCAAAAACGGAATTCCTTTACTGATTTAGAACGGCCTGAATCCAGTGTAATCCCCCTAGCTGAGATAGAGCGTCAACTTTGACTTTAGGGGGGGGGGAAGGAAGTAAATATAGGCGAGGGTGGAACTAAGGCAAGTCCGGGTGAGCCTGGCAGCTTAGATGAGCAGAGGTAAGAGGGGGGAGGAAACAGGACAAGTCCGGATGTGCCCGGCGGTCTTGGCAGGCTTTTAAGACGGGGCTCTGTGGACCTCAGATAGAAACCTTATTTACTTAAGTAGACCTGTCTTAAACCAGCTCCAGCGGTGGATTTAGCGAAAGTCTACCACCACTTAAGACTAACTCACGTGCAAGTCACCGTCCCGTACACCAACATGTTTGGAGCATACGGTGGACATAATCGAAATCGATGGTCGGACTGTTGGGTCACAGTAGCCGCCTGTGTCCGATCCCGCCTCGTTCTTCTTGACCTTATCTTGACATCGGGTTAAGGTGGGTGAGGGGAAGAGAAAGTGCGGTAGATGCTGCGCTAGTCTATCATCACTTAAAATGAATCCATGCGTAAGTCACCGTTCCTGCACTACCACGCTGTAGATCATACGGTGGGCATCGACGGTCCAACCGTCGGGCTGCAGTTGGATGAGATTGAGAGTGTGAGTCCGATGCTTCGAAGGTCGTCCTCACTGGAAACCGTATAGTTTAGGGGTAGTTGCTGTTTCTCCAGTCAGTATTCACTCTCATCCATATCACGCTTATCGACCACTTTTTACCCCTCCTTTAAATAGCTCTCCCCGTTGGTACTTTGCCTAATGATAGTTCTTTCTGTTCCCCCATTCGCCGTAGCTCTGTCCTATCCTATCGCCACTGATCCAACAACTGAGTCCCTATGATGAGGACAGTCAACCAGTGTCTCAGGGTGATCGTCTCCTACGCCTTCTTGTCAAGGGTATGTTGTACGAGGCGTGTGAAGATTTCTGTGCTGCCATGGCGACCGAGAACAATGCAAAAATGCGATTTCCACCGATGTTGTCAAGTAGGTTTCTTTATAATTGTTTGCAGTTTGCCCTTTACATGTATTAACTTTGGTGCACTCCTGACGTGTTCTGATGCAGCATAACTCCACGTTTATATTATATGTTTAAGTTACTAGTGAATATTGTGACCTGCTTGGGGTACGGGTGGTGGCTCGTCTGTTTGTGTTTGGTAGGTGAGTGACATGTTGACTGCTTTGCTGGTTGATGCGGTGTCGTCCCCGAAGATCTTCGACGCTTTCACTGTTATTAGAATTTCACACTGGGACCAAGTTGGTCTGGTATTGTGGCCGTGGTTAGGCTGGACACCGAGTCATGAGAATCGAGGACCGATTAAATCCTAGTGAGCAGTCGGGTGTAGTGTATCGCATATCCCGCCTAAACTGTCCCCGAAATGACACAAGACGCATGCTCGGTTCGCACATACACGAGCATAAGCTAGTTGCGAAACGGGTCGTGAGTTTAACTTAGCGACCGCCCACGCCAGCAGCAAGAATTGATTGAAGCCTGGGCGCCTCGGATGAGAACACAGTCAATCGATTTATCGATCTGCCGCCAGCATGCATCGCCCTGCGCAGGCATCTCCGGACTGACGTCACTGGTGGTTGATTGGTCCCTCCCCCCTACACCTGCAGCTTGCGTTTCGTGGACGCTTTTATCTCACACAGTGGACTCCAGTAAGAGATCGAAAGTTCGAACGAATAGAACCATGATTTCGGTGATAGACGTACCTTCCTAAAAGCATTTACCAAAAACGTGAATTTAGATATTAGTTCTTATGTAAATGGCCATATTTATAAATTCCTCGAAGCTCATTGCTGAGCGAAAAGAATCTCCACAATGAAAGTCTGAGATTTTTATGCCCAAGATCAATTAAAAGACTTTCTATAATAGGTTGCCTATTTAAAATGCAGTTGAATTAGGGATTCTGTTGAGGAAAACCTGTGCATGTGACCTTTTTCCTAGGTAGCGTCACAGTGAAAAAGGGAAATGTCGACAAGTTTTTTTTAAATAAACGTGAAAATAAATGATAGCATTTTGGCTGGAACTGAAGGAACCCACTTTTCTCTTTATATCGGAAAGTTTTTCACCGTATTTGAGTTCTAAGATTGCAAATACAAAAAGAGTGGTCGAATGTATACGAAGCTTTTGCAAAACTGTTAATATTCTCTCTTTTCCGTTTCTAAATTACGCATTAGCAGAAGGTATATTGTACGAAAAAGTATATTGTAAAATGTCTTAGATCTAAAAATGTTTTTTTTCTATCTTCATGCACAGCAAAATATATGTTTTTGTTTACCATCCCAAATATTCGATGTAGTAAAACAAACTTCACTCAAAATGTTTTTAGTGCATTTTGTGACAAATACTTTGGGAACAAAGAGATTAAAAGCTGATTTTTTTTCTTGTTTTTGAAAACAATGCGATTCCTTAAATTTGGCTTCACCTGATTTTCATTGCCTCAAGACTAAATTTTACAGTTGTGCGAAGGATATATTTTAAACCTTTGCTTATATTGGTGTTTATCCATAGCGCAACGCATAAAAATAAAGAGTTTGGTTTTGTCGCAGAATTTTTTTTTCGATATTACCCTTAAATATTAAATACTAAACACACAGTTTCCCTCACTTAAAAGGCCTTCGCTGGATCATATCCACGCATTAGATCAAAATAACGTGACCATATTTATGCTTAACTATCAATTTCAGTTTAGATCATGATATTGCATGAATTACCTCACCCCCCTGTCCTTAAACCTGACCCATTTTCTGCCTGCAGACGAGGACGATGCCGAGAAGTTGGATGCTGCCAGTCAGAAGCCCGACGGGGGTCGCATCTCCTCCTCCGTCTACACCATCCCCGCACCCGATCTCTCTCTCAACTCCTGGCTGCAGTCCCTGCCCGAGGGCTGCTTCACAC